TAAGCTAGCTCACTTGAATATTTTGAAAATGAATCTCCCTAGCTGACCATTCTTACATTAAGAAACCAGAGAAAGTAGCTGTTTTATTACTGACAGAAGATACAATAAAGATCAGAATATGTTCCCTTTTCATTGTGCCTGAAGACAATTTCATTATTCCTCAAAGATTTGCTATGTATCAATAAAAGTCACTCTTTGGGGTTCTTGTTATTGTTCTGTAGGACCCATCAGGAAACTAGTTTTTATGCCAAAACCATTTCAAAAAAAGAGGCTGAACATAAAATTCTCAGCCTAAGTAATGATTTCTATCCTCTCTGGTACAAATAGTGAAAATATTATTTCCCTCCTTTTGATTCATTGCCTAACTTCTACACAAGCACATTGTGTCAATACCTCTTCTTTAATCTACTCTGATGTGTTGCCATGGAAGTTGAGGAATTAATTTCTCAAGCCCTTGAATATACAGTATTTTTATATATTTCTGGCAACAAAGGGAATCCTTTTATTTTCTTCAGATACTGTGGCCCTGGCAATAATTTTCCTGTTCATAGTTCTATTAAAGGGTGACAAGTTTTAGGATTACTTCTAGTACAGGTAGTCCTTGATTTACAACAGTTTGCTTAGTGACCGTCCAAAGCTATAATGGCACTGAAAAAATGTGATTTAGGATCGTTTTTCATAGTTATGACCTTTGCAGCCTCCCCATGATCATGCAGTCAAAATTCAGATGCTTAGCAACTGGTTCAAATTTATGACCTTCTGACAAGCAAAGACAATGAGGAAGCCAGATTTACTTAACAACCAGGCTACTAACTTATCAACTGCAGTGATTCCTTTAACAACTATGGCAAGAAAACAACTGTGGCAAGAAAAGTCATAAAATAGGTCAAAACTCACTTAACAACAGAAATTTTGGGCTCAATTGTGGTCGTAAGTTGAGGACTACATGTATTCATGTAGAAAAAAATTGTAATGAGTGCGGAGATTTAAAAAACACAAAATGATTCAGTGGGAAAGGTCAAATGGGGACATAATGAAATCTTTTCCAACTATTTTTTAAATATGGTTTCACTTGCAATTTCTTCTATGTGCCCCAATAATACAACTCCCTCCCCCTACATTAAGTGTGTCATGGTTCAACATGCTGGGTGAAAAATGAAAACTGACAGGCACATTTCTTGTGTTTAGTGCCAATCTGTGCTGTTCCTCTATCTCTGGGGTTTCTATTCTATGACCTCCGCAGGTTTATCACAGAATGCTACTTCTCTATGCTTCGAGTGAGGTTTTAATTTCAAGATGTAATGACAAACTCTGCCTCTCCTTCAGAGAAACTAAACGGCAAATATCTTGACAGCTTTCTTCCCTGGGCGGATAGATTGTTCAGGAATGATGCACTACGTGTCGTCTCACATCAGCTCAGCCAAGCATGTCAGAAGCTTTTTGACCAGAGGTGCAATATGTTGTAGATTCATTTTTAATATACACATCTCGGATATTATTAAAAGCTTTTAATGCATGCATTAATCACAAATATGGAACTGAAATGAAAGATTAGTTGCGATGGAGGGTTTTTTTTTTTAATTCCAAAACAGAACGTAGATATCAGGACCAAAATACTAATGATTCTTAAGGAACCATTCGTTTACCATCTAAATTCATATTAGCCTCCTATTCGTACTGTTTCCAAGACATCATGAGTATAACACATTCACAAAGTCTTGTGCAGTGTCATACAATGATCATATCTGTGCCTTTGTGCATCCGTTAATTCATTTTGCTATAACTTATGGAGGAAGGATGTAGCAGCCTGATCTAAATCTTTGCAAGAACCTATTGATTCTAATCTTTCATCTATGGCCACTGATTCAAAATAAACTTAGATAATAACCTGTCTTGTACAAACTGAAAGCCTAAGTATTGTTTAAGTTACAACCTTGCCAATCATTGCAGTATATACATTCAGAACATGCCATAGATGGTATAAAGTACAATGAAAATATGTAGATCACGTTTTAATTCAATTAACTTGCAATTTCTCTGAATGATATAATATGTAGAATAACACTTTAGAATGCACACATCTTGAAATATTTCAGTGATTCTTAGCACACATGCATGCACACACACAAAAACAAAACCAGACCATCACATATACAAATGGGACTGGGGAATATACAGGAATTGGGGAAACTTCCATATTAATATAAATATAAAGAGGGAAAACAGACATATACATTAGGGAAAGTTGCATAGAAGATGCATATATATATATATTTTAATAATATACTGAAGAAGAAACTGGACAAAAAGGATAGCATATATATGAAACTAATATTGACTAGAAGTAAAATAAATTCCCCTACAAACTCGGAAGCTTACCATGCAACTTGGTACCTATATATGGTATACAGCACATGAACAGCCATCGTGTCAGTATGTAGCAAAGTATACCACTAGGTGGTCAAAAAACATCTTACATTTCTTGCTGTATCTTTGTAAAAAGCTTTGACTTAACTATGACAATTCAGATCAGTATTCCTAATTCCGAAGTACCTTGGAATTTATAGGTATTGGCCTGGGAAATCAATCCCCATTGAAAATTTCTAAAATATGTGTATGGCTGATAAGAGGCAGGGACAGGAACACCTTTTCCCCCCAAATTCACAAGGCAACCACAAATTTTCTGATCAAGCAATGTGTAGATTGAATCTAAAAATCACCTGTCAGCATATGGAAAATGTAGTTCAGCACATTCTATGCAACAAAAATATCAGTGCTCTTCCATTTTTTCCCAAGGATTCCCAATCTGCTGTGAAATAAGTTGGAATGGGCATCTAACCATTTTTGTTCCATAGTCCACAGAGCAGACACTTTGCTTCTGAAGTATGACTTACTTATTCTGAGACACAGTATTTTCCTTAAATAATGGAGTTAAACATTCCTTCCCCTAACTGATATACTGCAGGTGCTTTGAATTTCAATTGCCAATATTCTCTGTCACTGATCTTGTTGGCTAAGAATTCAGTAGATGCTAGACAAAAAAAGTGTTAGAAAGCTGTTGTCAAACTAAGGAAGATATTGTGGCCTTCTTCCATACCAGCAAGTCCCCACAACTGACAACTTTACAAATGTCAAGTCTATCCTAAAAAATAAGTTTCATTTTGTTTTCTTCCATTTCTGTTCCCAACTAATCCCCTTCTTCAGACATTAAAAAAATAAATATAACCAAAAACTTTGCAAAAAATAATACTGTAATTAAATATGCATAAGACCTGTATTTGAACTTCTAAAACAGGACTGCCAATTAACTGGATACTTTGAAATAACTTCTCAAGCATTTAAATATTCCACAGAATGTAGCTAGGGAAAAATGACTGATGAATTCATGCAAGCTTGTAACTTCAGATTTCTTTAATCATATATTTATTATGCAAAACTGGTTTCAACCTGAAGATTTTCCTAATAAAGTATCAACACTTGAAAAAATGAAGTGTGAAAAAGAGTTTAATCTTAACTACCCTAACTACAAATGCTAATATGCTCATTAAAGAGACATTAAATGGAAAAGGGTAAAGCACATGATTGCCCTAATAAGACACTTTAGTCTACTGCAACCATTTCCATTTTCTACAATGCATATAATTTCTATGTAAAAACAAGACAAAATCAGACAAACTAAGGACATTTGCATTTGAGCAGTTCTTACGTCACAATCTGAAAAAAGGAAACCCACTTAATATACTAATTTGCTATTATCCATAGCAGTGGTTCTGATAATGATAAGGGAAATATATAAATCCTTCTTGAAAATGTGAGATTCAGTCTAGCCGTAGTTCATTCCATATTCACATGATGTCCTAATATGCACTACCTCTTTAAAAAATTCCTGCTGAGTGCACATGCAGAATGTTCCCCTTTAAAGCTTAGCCATTATTTAAGAGTTTTAATTGCTTAACTCCCCCATATAGTTTTTACTCCCTGCCTCAAGTGAATCAGAGACCAACAACAGCTATTATTGTTCAGTAAACACATCCACAAGAAATTGTTGTCCATACATACAAAGAGAGACAGAGTTTCCATGTAGTTACTCCTGCTCTTTCTTCACTCTTAGGAAGGCAAGATCAAAGAGAACTCTGAGCAGAATACTATAATCACTGAATCATCATAGCTGCCTTTCTTTATTAAGGTCAGAGGTGACAGAATTTATACTTCTTGAGCTATGAATGCGTTTTCTTGATAGCTGTACAGGCATATTTGAGGGAAAGCAGTATCCAAAGTAGAAAATCTAGAGAGTGAAAGAATATCGCGCCTCATAATATTCTTGTCTTTATGATTGTTTCTTTTCTTAATTATTTCTTAAGGATCTGGACGGTAACTGAAATGGCAAGGTTGAAAACTGTCACACAGAAAATACCTGACTATTATATCCTCCAGATACAACTTTTCATTGCATAAGCTAGAATGGCATGGTAGAATTTCAACTACATATATACAAAAATGCGTGTAACAGAAATATGTTCTAGGGCAATTTGCCTAATAAAATAACCTTCATAATCACTTTACAACTAAGCAGACCTATCTCCCTAATTGACCAATTTCTTTTCCTCAGTGGCTATGAAATATAGGTATTTCATAGTTCCAGAGGGCAGATAATGAATCCACAAATCACGGGGTGCCTCTGACTGAAATGTCCTAGTTACTGCCTCTGCATCATGACTTATTCCATTACAGCTCCATAGTTTTGTCCATCGCTCTTTATCTGACTAATTGCTTACTCCATGAAGAATTTGAGCCCCTTAATCGAGGCAACACTTAGGATGCTGACACTGACAGGAAATACAGTAACACTCCAACTTCCCATCTATAGGTATAAAAAGCATTCAGACACACACAATCTCCTCTACAGCACGGTGAACCATTTCCTGACATAAATCAGTCTTAATCTTCTATCTCTAGACCTCAGCTACAAACTAGTATGCCTAGCAACAGAAATCACCCACCTGGGGCAGCATGCGATTTTCCTCCTCCAGCTGTCTTACTCTTGCTTCCAGCTGCCTAACATAGGACAAGGTTGATTCTAAAATTAAAAAGACAAAAGAAAAGGACTTATATTACATGAAGAAGTCTGCCCTGGCAAACTAAAGGCCAAAATTACTCACCAACAGTTTTCTAGCTTCCTACTGTCTCTAAAATATATGGTAAATGTGTTCTTTTTATGGGCTACAGGTAAGAATGTGATATATGGTGAAACATTGGGCTGATCCAATGTAATAAACTATTATAATCAGTCAAACAGCCAGAGGTTTGAACCAATTTGGCATTTTTATCTACCAATCAGATCCTTCTCAAGGACCTGAGAGATACATATGTTTTTGTTTATTATTGTATTATATATAATATTTAAATAAACATTATATATGATATGCTATTCTAGATGCCAGTATCATTGTAGATACATTCCCCCATTCCTTCTGATCCTCCCCGTTCACTGGTAAAAATGTATTGGACATGTTGTAAATGTTGAAAGAAGCTCCTCAGCAGAGACACATAGGATGACAAAATGGTCCAGGAGTCCTAGAGGACAGTTACAAAGGCAGAGAGAAACAATTGAGGCAGAAATGATGGGTTTTAGAAGAAAGAACAGAGAATTTTCAGTGCCACATTATCTTTCTCAGGAGGCACTGGTGTCTGCACTAAACTATTCCCACCACCTCCACCACACTATGTGTGATTGCATTCCTCCATTCTAATTGGAGAATCAGCTGATACCTCAAAAGCCTCACTCCCAAACAAAAACAGCAGAGAACACTAAAACCTATAGGAAAAAACAAGGTGTGATCATTTGAAAACAACTACAATAGACAAGGTATATTGTTGAATGTATACCCAGCCTTACTACAGAGCAGGTGTATAGATCTGGTAATACTACAGGATTTTTATTCTTAACCTAGACAACAACTACTGTGTTTAAAAGCAGTCATGTTGACAGAAAGCCCATACACAAGCTTAACTATCTTATGTAACTTTGCTTCTGCTGCTCAGATAAGCTCAACTATTACACCCACATTACCTCACCTGCTAGGTAACCTATAAAATAAGAAGGAACAGTGATGAGTGAAGTCTCATTTTCTCCTATTCCAAAATTTGTTGGAGACTTAAATAGACTCACATACTGGGAGTGAATGTGAATTGAGGATGATCAACGTAGCAATCCATAATAATTTGACAAGTGATTAATATATAATCTACAATACCAGGTTAAAAATAGGACTCTAAGACAGCACAGGGAGAAATGATCCAAGGTTTTATGCATTTTGCTGTGGAAGAGTTGTCACAGTAAGTGAAAGGTGAACTTTGATGATTTGAAAATTAGCATACCCTGGTTGCAAAGTTTCATTATAGTAATCCTCATTTTTGGGCCACCCACTGTTTACTTTGGATTCCTTCAATCAAGATCAGTTCTAATTTTCAGCAGGCCCTTATATTGGTGCTATTTTATGGATCTAACATATTGGAAACACCCACAACTCCTGGCCTCGCCAGTAGATGATAAGCTATAGAAAAGTGGAAGCATCAGCAGTTTTTACTTAACAAATTGCTTTTTATTTCAATTTCATTTGCCTCTTACACATTTTCTGTGGACTGAAGCAGTCCCTCTTATTAAATGAGAAGCTAAGGCTAAGAAACTGCATTGAGAAAGTTAACACAGAAGTCCCACCTTTCATACATTTCTCCCATTTGTGAATAGGATACTCTCCTTATACTTTGGATACTTTTGTTCAAATTCCAATTTAGCTATACATTCAAAAAGCAAGTTGGCAATTCACTCCATTCTTTATTTCAGCACACTTATCAAGGCCTTTGATGGTATTATTGTAATGTTATAAATAATTATTTTGTTGCTGTTATATATGTTTTTCCCTTCTTTCTTGGATGCACCTGTAACTCAGCAGAATGATATATATTAGTGCAGGCAAAACCATTAAGAGTGCTCGTTGAATCAGGCACAAGTCTTTTTATCCATAATTCTGCTTCCAAGAAGAGCTAGATAGATTATCACAGAACATCTAACTGTAAATCTTTTTACATTTGTCTCCAATCAAGTGTATTCCCTCTATATACTGACGTTACTTTTAGCTATCACTGCTTTGCAATATCTGCCACGAATCTTTGATCATTTTGATTTTAAATCATGTGTATGAGCTATAATTATCTAATTTTATTACTGTAAATTCTTCAGGTTATATGTAGTGTGTGAAATACAACCTGGTATATATCTTGAATCTACTGATTATGAATATATTATTAGAAAGTATATCTTGTACTTTTCTTATTATTGTTTAATTAAGATCTAATCCCTAACTTCCAGGAATTATTAGGGTCCACGGTTTTGTCTCCAAGTTCTTCCTCCTTTTCCCCTCCCTGCAAAAGTCTAAAATTGCACTATCCAAAGGCAGACAAGAACATAAGAGAGAAATAATTCGGTTACGTGTTTGAAACCACAAATGCCGAGTAAAGCGTCTTCAATATACTTCATGCTTTCCAAGTCTTTAAGGATTACCTTTCTTGCCCAGGAAATGTCAGGCTTTAGCATGTTAAAAAAAGTAATCTACCAGGACAAATGGGTGAGCTGTTTGTTTTCTGGTAAGCTTGATTGCTTCATCTTTCACTGGTACATTGTTGTCCCTTCTCCCTTTCTGATACAGTCAAATCAGAATCCAGGTTCGATATTTAATCTTGATCAAATTTGATGAAAAAGGAGCATAAACTGAAATCCTTAAGATAAGAGAAATATACAGACATCCAAATGACATTACATTCACATGCCTCAACTTTTCCCCACCAACAAAGATTTACTTTCTTTGGCTATTCTATTGGACCCAAGGGTAAATATGGTGCTCTATTATTGTAAATCAAATCTTCCCATGAGAAGAGAAGGCATAAGCAACTGGTAGAACTTTCCTAGCCATAGTGAAAATAACACATGAAGTCAAATCATGTGGTCACCTACTTAACTCAGGGATTACAATTTAATCAATGTGCCCTAAGTCACAATTAACACATATCGGTATCAGAATCGACAACTGGCAAGTAAAATTTATGTACTTGCACTGTCCACATAAATGATAAAATAGTCCATCTGGAAGTCAAACAAATTAAAAATTGTCATCAGTCATCTTAGATTTGAAGATCTTTGGCTGGAATTAAAGAATAGCCCTACACCTCACAACATCTACATATCATCTTTGAAAACCCATATAAACTTCAGCTCCTTCATTGCTGTTAGATATTTAATTAGCCTTTAATGGTATTTTAAAGCTTTGAGGAATTCTACTTAACTCATTTTTTTCTAAAGGCATAAGTTATTGTCACTAAATCCACAGATGGCAGCTCTTTATCTATCTTACCAAATGCATTGTGGAGTTTGACAGGAACTAATGTAGAGAGACAATTTTCTCTTTTCAAAGCACCTTGCAAACAGTGCAGGGAATACAGTTAGATCCCAAGGGAAGTACAGCCCATAGCCCACCATTTGAAATGCCAGTGAAGCATATAGAGTGTGTGTGTGTGTGTGGGGGGGGGTATTCAGCTTTGTTCGGGTATTTTCCGACGTCATTATAGTTGTGCTTTTAAAGTTGTAGCAACGTTTCGGCAGAATCTCATCTGCCATCATCAGGCTTCTGTATTGTGTCCGTCTGCCACTAGCATCCATTAGCACCCTCTCTATGTACAGTTGCAGATATGAAGCAAAAGATAATAGATTAACTAGCTACAGTCAACCCTGATTACTGTAGGCTCGGTTGGAGAAGTACCATCAGATAGTATGCTGAAATATACCAACAAAGCCTCAGAGCAATCCTTACTATCATAACTAAAAGCAATGAACTGGTATACAATACAGCCACTGTAGTCCTAGAGATCCTACAAAAAGAACAGTAGCATATACTCTCCCTGGAACATGAGGCTAAGATCATGGGAACTTAGTGAGAGATTAGTCAGCTAGTGGAATTACAGAAGGGTGTGAAAATTAGGAGTTCAAGGATGTAAAGATTAGCGATAAGACTCATTTATAAATACAGGGGCCTGACTGTATTTGAAGCCCAAGACATTACTAAACAAAGGCTCAAATCACTAGTGACCAGACCAGGGAGATAGACTAGAGAAGCAGAAACCAAGAAACTAAATACCTTGTTTCCAAGAAAAGGCTATGACTCAATGTCACACGCATCTGTGGATTTGTGAATTTCTGGTGCTTTACAAAGTTAACAAAACACTGAGGATTTTCTCAAGAACTCAACGGCACCATGGAACATAACACTGGAAGTCATCAAAGCAGCTCACAATCATATGAGGCATATACTAAGCTGATGCACAGTCTTGCTGTTCTGCACAGGATTGAACCTTCTAATCATACAGACTAGATATGGATACAAGTTCAAGAGTGGAATTACTATGGCCACCTTCTCTCTGCAGCCTATACAGAGAGGCCACAGGAATCAGTCCAACATATTGTAGCAGGATGTAAGATGTAGGCAGGAACAGCATACACTGAATATAACCAAGTAGCTGGCATTGTATGCATATTTATTTTTTATTACCCATTAAAAATCTGTTTTCTGGATTTGTAGCAGTGGAGAATTATCTAAAACTACACAATGAATATAAACAGATCAAAACAAAAGGCAGATGAGACAGAGAAAGAGAAAGCTTCCATTATATATACAATTATGGATAAAGTAATACAAAATCTTGTCTAGAAAGTCTCTGGCATCATAATATCCCATGCCATATCAGGCTATTTCCAGTTGTATAGAAGTATCAGAAGAGACACATCTATGTCTATCTCCTCCTAGGTTTTGTTGCTGTTGGTTTTTTCTTTTTGTATTTCTCTTCAATTGAAAGAAATGGCAGAGGAATAATTATATCCATTCAGTAGTACTGACAGAAATGGACTGTCAAACAGTGAAGATTACAAACAGTTGGCATAATATAACTACATCTGCCAACTCCTATTAACAGTTTTGCTGTTTACCTTGGATCTTTTTGGAAATGAAGATTTCAAAATCAAGAGTTACC